TGAATGTTATTAATAGTCAAAATTATGATATCAATGAGGTCTCTGTCATAGCGATTGATTACTTTGCCGTCTGTTGTCACAGTTGCATCGGTTGTCACAGTTGCCCTTAATAGGGTGTGCTCCATGGTACCGATCCCACGTCTGTTGTTTTAGATGTCCGTGTTTGTTCTAGATCTACGCCTGATTTGTATCGTGTAATGGATGTTTGGTCTCGAATACTGTTTATTATCTACATATATTTCCTCAGTCCACTTTTTATCACCAAAGACGTGTAAGCCGAAAACGTTTATGCATAAAACTATCAAGCAAGCCACTCGATTGATCGCATCATGAAATTAAAAACACTTAGACATTTATTCCTTAAACAGTTTAACTTAATGTAAGATAGGGAAGGTACGACTTGATAAGTGACGTCTTATCCCCGTGTCACCTTATTGTAAGTTTTCTTTGACAGCTTATCCACTAACTGCCCTACTGACCAACTGTCTAACTGTGTCCGACTGGGCGTGTTACTGCACTTTTATATCTTTCTAATTTTTTGCATACTAAATTTTCATTTACTGATGACTTATACCAGTTGTCATCTTCTCTCTACTAGAGAGTTGCTGATTGCTAACTCTTATTATCTCTGGTCATCGCACTACAATTTGTTTTGTCACTGAAGATATAAAATTCTTTTCATTTGATCAATACATAGAGGATGCATGCAGTCAACAGGGAAAGCCTATGTCCCTTGGGCACCTGGTCCAGTGTCTTGTAATTCCAGGGGCCTGTGCTCTGTTTAAACTGCATGAGTTTATGAGTTTGATTGCAATTGTAATTTGTCATCTTCACGTTTTATATTTTATACAAGTTCAAATAACATTCAATCTAATGATATAAATGCTTCTATCACTTAAAGTGTAATAACATATTCTGTTAAGTTGATGACATGAAAACAGGTAATATGTTTGGGAAAGCTGCTCTTGGGAAAATTAATGATACACTTCGATATCAAATGTTAAGCTACAATGAACAACAGTATTTATTCACGTTTTGGTATCATAAAAGTAATCAGGACAGTATTCATTACATTGATCTAGAAATATTGCATTGAAGTTTATGAAAGAATTTCATGTCAAAATAAAAAAAAAAAAAAGAAAGCATGTTCAAAATAATGTTTACTTACCCTTACGCCTATTCGCGCTACTTAGGATGAAATACTGGACGTTATCAGGCATATCACTTTTTTCTTTGCTGTAGATAATGTTAAAAAGCTTGCAAGACTTATCAGTAAAATTGTATAATAAAGATACACAACGATTTTCTTTCAGGCACTGAAAACTGCAATGATTTAGCTCATCCGAAAAACCAGACCAAATTGCTAAAGAAGACTCAACAAGGTCTCGTCTTGATCTTAAAAGATGCATGTGGGATTCATCTGGAAAAAAAAATTGAAAATAAAACAAGTATAACACCAGGCCCCGGGATCTTGAAACATCTTAAGCTTAAGTCAAAATCTTTATTTTATAATAAAATGTTGTAGAAGTCAATCAGATCAAAATTAAAATATTTTTCAATATTGTTTCACTGAGTTGTTTTTATGTGCAAACAAATTAAGAAATAAATTTCTTAATTAATAAATATTTTATAGGCGATTAAAAATTTGACTTAAGTCTAAGTTTGTTTCATGATCATGGGGCCAGAGATATATGATCTCAAAATGCAGAATAATCCCTATAAATTAATTATTTTAAATCCATAGTTCATCTTTTAAAAAAATGTCTTAGGAATTATATTTTACTCACGAGCTGCTGTCACTGCGAACATTCCGAAATAAAGATAACAGTATTGAAAGAAAAGCAGAAGATTTAGATATCTCATGATATTATCCTTCTAATCGTACAACGATTTGGGGCTTTAACGGTGTACATAAAGAGATATTCTGAATCAATAGTAAATTATTTTTTTACGAAGAAATTTATTGAAGTCAAACCAATGAAAGTTGTTCTCAATGTTCTGAAGCACGGAATTAGCCATAGAGCATGTAGGTCTTTAATCATAAAAAAATGAATTTGAGCCTTAAGGAGGAATATGACCTTACTTTAAAAATGAAAGATGAATTGTTTTAATGCAACTTCATACAAATATCGATACAATTCATGAATTGTGATCACACGCATTTTTGTCGTAAAACTTGTAATTACTCTAGTACTAATTACCCTTAGTAACGACACAGGAAAGTCAATACATATTTCACAGATCAATGTGTTAGCTTCTAAAACAAAGAAATAAAAAAAATTAAGAATAAATGAAATAATAAAATATCTGTGAATGATAAAACAAATCAATGAAACGATCATAAACTAGAATCCTAATAGATGGTTCAGAAACATCCTTTTAAAAATAGTTCATACCTATTTTGTTAAGAACTTCATATTCTAACATGACTTGGTATAATTCTCGATTGTGGCTTTGAATAGGGTGTGGCAAAAGAATTCCACTGATAGCAATGATATTAAACAACCTTTTGTACAGTGCAAGTCTATAAATGTTGTGCTATTCTTCTGATAGAGAAGTAAACGTACTTTTCACACAAGAAGGCCCTCGTTACTGGACCAGAAAGTGCTTCCTTCTGATCACATTTTCATTTTTGGTGATTTAGGGGAAATTGTTTTAGTCTCCATACATTTAGAAAAATTATACAGTACTGTTTGGAATTGAGGAGGCTCTGTTAGCCAAGCTCTTCACAATAATTTCTATTTTTATAACTACAGGGATAATCAAAATATACATGTATTTTTGCAAGCCAATTTGATATGGAAAAGGGTTTTTTTTCTCTCTGTGTATGAGCCATTTATAAGTAATCTTTGTCCTGTTTCTATCATAAGCAGTGAAATAAACACTATTATTTTTATAGATATATATATATATATATATATATATATATATATATATATATATATATATATATATATATATATATATATATATCTATAATTGTCATTACAAGTCTTTTGAAATTGCTATATTCCTGGTACATGTAATCAAGTAGCTGGAAGGATCCAGATTATGATGTGTACTCAGTTATAAAGATAAGTTTTGTTGAAATGACAATAAATAGAACAGAGTTAAGAACTGATGAAAATATAATTAAAATTGGTGAGAAGATTAATTTCCTGTTTTTATTATAAACATAAAAATTGGCATATCAAGTATTATTATCAAGTATTAATTTCAAGATTTCATTTTAAGTCATTGTGTGGAGGAAAACGTCGGATGCTGTAAACCCTTGTGTAACATACATGTAAGTGCTACAAGTGTATAAGCCAGACTTTATTCCCTGAAAAGCCGACCTAGTACGACATATAATTAACATGATTTATTCGAAAAGATAATCTAATACGGTAAGTAAAATAAGGTTTTCTAGAATAATACTGTTGCTTGAAATCAGCTAAAATAAATTCATACATGCTGCTGTTGAAATGAGAAGGGTATACCAGGACCAGCCATTTTTATAAGGGGACATTATTTTATCACCATGTAAAATGCTTCTTAGCATCTTGGTATATGTAGTTCTTCATGTTTAATATTTGCTATAAAATATTCCAAGGATGAGCTAATATAAAACATTTTGCTTAATTTTTCATCTTTCCATATTTAAAACATCAATTATATATATAATTGAAGCAATTATCGTACTTTCAGTCTATTTGTTGACTAGAAGTTATTCAGTCTAGGAGGGAGGGGGGTCTAGAGTAATTTTTTAGGATTTATTACAGTTTCCCCAGAAAAAAGGATAAATTTAATTAGGGCTGTTGGTCGTGGGTCAATTGAATGTGGCTTCTCCATTTTATTGGGTGACCAAAACCTGTGGATTCGAAAGGTTTCGGCCAAGTGGCGTTTGCCCCGGGCCATTCAATTGATGCTATAATTCATTGTGCTGCTGCTGCTGCTAAAAACAAACTCATTTACTGTGAAATTGTGTGCTGCTTTCAACAAATTCATGAATTGGTTTGCTTTGCTTGTTTAAAACAAACCCAGTTGCTATGCAAAATGTGTACTGCTTTCAACAAATTCCATGCACTGCTTTGCTTGCTTAACAGTTGTAGTAACGTTTGCGGTTTAATAACCCGGAACGATAAATGCATAAGTGTACTTTTAAGTTTATTATACCCCCCGCTTGAAAAGTGGGAGGGTATATAGTAATCGGTATTTCCGTCCGTCCGTCTGTTACGCTTTGGGGTACCCATCTCTTATTTGCAACTCCTCTCATACCACTGAAGGAAATTTAATGAAACTTTCACAGATTCTTAATTACATATTGCCATTGTGCACCTCCTATTTTACTTTTTGATCTAATGTATATTTTTGATTTTCCAGAGCAAAACAGGGACACTGCCATTATATTCATATGGGAGGCGGGGGGTATCATTTAGTGAGCTCATTGCTCACAGTACCTCTAGTTTAAAATACATGAAATATGATTGTAAGGTTAGGTACCGTTCGCGGTTTACCAAGAACAGCCATTATTATGCTTATTATAAGTACATGTAATAGTTTGCTTCCATGTTGTTTGCTGCTGCTGCTTGTTGTTATTTGTGGTCTTCTTTATGCTTGGCGACCCCTTGCAGCTTCAAATTATGCTACGACCAACGATCTCCAATATCAAAATAAACGTGTATAAGATCATGTTTGTTTTATTTCCCTCTATATAAATAATTGTACAATATATTCTTCGCTGAAAAAAGCAACACTTGCGTAAACACTTGGATGGGTACTCAGATTGCGATTTATTTTATATAGGGTGTTTATGTATGGTTAAAATTTTTTAGTCCTAGGTCACCCCAAGAATAAGTAAAACACTTGTCACTAATGCTTCTAACCACTTGTTTTAGACCTTGGCAAAGCCCCAACCCCCATTTTCGTTCATATTTGTTTGATATTTTCAGAAAATTATAGTTTATAAAAATATCACATTAACAATATAAAAATAGTCTTAACAATTTGATCTTTTAATCTTTTATTAATAAAAGGCTGGCCATCAGATGATATATGCTATAAGCTGACTAGCGGTTCTTCTGTCTAATTCCCAAAGGATACAGATATATGTAAGAGCTGCTTTATTAGAGATGCTCTAAGAGAAATGGAGGGCGGCGAAGATTTTATATAGTAAAAAAAGTATTTTAATATTTTCTTCTTGAAAACAGCGAAGCCATTACAAGTATCACTGCAGAAACAGAAATATTCAAAGGGAATTAAATTTCGTTGTTCACAATTATCGACGAAAATAAACCCACACTAAATTTTATATGACTATATTTTGAATTGAACAAATTTCGAAACAACGAACTTTTATTTCCACGAACTCTTTCTAAATGACAAATCAACGAAAATTTGTGCCCAAATAAAATTTATTCTTCTTCAGTAGTTATATTAATACCTAAGAATCCTGAGATAATGTACTGATTGAAATTTGACAAAATATAACGCTGGAGGAAGGGTGGAACTGCCGGTTCTTACAAAAAATTACATATGAAGAGCCTTTGCTTGATCTTTTTTCAATTGCCCAAAAACTCTTCTCAAAATTTTGTAGAGAAGCCATTTTCGAAATATATATTTAAAGGGAAAGAAGACTGACTAATTTCTTGAACCAGTCATCAAATGCTATTTTTATGCAGTGGTATGAAAATCTTTTATCAATACATGTACCTTGAGCAGCCATCGATCTTTGAGCGAACGCTCAAGTCAACTAATATTCATCACAATGAAAATCATTCTTTTTACAAAGTGTATATATAAAATTAAAGGTTGCTTTCATTTAATGTACTATGTCGTTTATTGTCCCTTGTCTTTAGCACTACATCTTCATGTTTGACAGATGACTGCTGTTGCGGCTGCAGCCGATACTGAAAGAGAATTTAGAAGACACAAGTTTTCAGATTTGAAAACGTTCACATAAGGTCTTCACAACAATTATCAATTTTACAATATCTAATTTATCAGTAGGTTTCTCTTAGTTCTAAAAAATACGTGAACAAATTAAAAGTTTAACGCATATTGTAATCACTACTGTTATTCCATGGTATGAGATAGAGACAGAAGGAAGGAAGGCTCAAACTGATTGGGAAGATTACGTGAAATTTCCTCATACCCCTAGAAAACAACGTGTAAATTCATACCGAACTCGTTTGAAACTTGAAACGTGATAGATCCTGTTGAGGGTCCACATATACCACACCATCCTAGACAGCCAAAGGTGATCTCAGTTCCGTCCGAAGAAATTTTAAAGTTTCTAATCGCTGTAGCCCATCCACTGACCTTACCCCACGTGACCTAAAGAAATAAAGATATGATGTTAATTGAAAGACAAGAAATAAAACAGGCATTCAGAAAGGTGATTGCCAAAATTTCTTGAATTAAGCTAAAGAGTACTGTAACTTCTTTATACAGTCATATCATTCGAGTAAAAAGCATGAATTACTGAAGGGCTGACGACTAGTCCAGTTTCTCTGGTGTTGATAATCGCAGATGAAAAATATGGACACGGACTTCGAAAATCTTCACCATTACAGTCATGTATTTCTCCATAGGGTGAAGTTGGTGAACCAGTCTTGGTTGCAAAAGAATAATCTGTACCTTTTACCTCCATGGTCTGTAAAATAAAACAAATGTTTCAGTGATTGATAACTTTTTCATCTGCTTGCCAATAGATTAATTTCCTTTGAATTTGATCAATACAAATATTTTACATTCAGAAAAATCAAACAGTTTAAAATTTTCCAGTTCAATTTTAATTGAAAAA